CTCATTTGCCAGTGACACAATATTAGGCGTCAGAAGGTGGCACTGGAAGGACCCTGCAAACCAAAAGGGGCTTCACTTTTCGTTCCAGTCTTTCCCTCTTGCTCTTATTGTGTCACTGTCAGCATGTGACTTCCCTGCCAGCAGGAGGCTGCTCTGCCAGTAATGTGTGAAAGAGCCAGTAGCATACATTCTCCAGTTTTGCTGGCACCCCAGAGGCAGCTTTCCTCCAAGTGTCACCCGCACCCCAGCAAGTGACTTCCTATAGTTTCCCTGCCTCTCACTTCTAACTGTGGGACCTCAGCAAACTTCTCCATCCTGTGGGCCACACACATCCTCTTCAACGAGATCTGAATCTCAGCCTTGCAGAGAAGGGCAGGGCTCTTCCAAGTCTATCCCTTCCCCGAGTAGTACTCCCCACATCTACTAGTCCTGTATTCTCTTAAAGATGTCTTAGACCCTTTGGTGGTTAATCCTGTTACTAGTTAATAATTCTTCATATTGAATTTTCCCTGTTCAAATTATTGGTATGATTTCTTTCTCCTGAATAGATCCTGAACCCTAAATGATACCATAATCATTTGTAAAATTTAAAAGAGGATGTATATTTTCTAAATCTCTAAGAAAATTAAAGCAGGAAATAAGTCCATTTAGGAAATGAGAGGCATCAGTGAGAAAGTGTAAAACATGATCACAGATGACTAAAGTCAGTAATTAACATAAAAGCAAATGGATCAGACTCCACTATTAAAATGCAGACTCTCCAAATGTGCTGAAATATAAAAATCTTTAGTTGAAGAGACAACTAAAAATTATATAAAAGTTAAAAATAAAAGGATAGACAATTTATCAAGCAAATATAAAACAAAAAAAGAGAAATATTCTAATATCCAAGAAGTAAAATTCAAGGCAAAAAAACAAATAGGACAAAAAGAGTAACTTTATAGACTAGTAAGTCTTCTATATGAATTTTACACAGCAGACACAAGTATCTGTACACTAAATAACAGTATCAAACTATACAAAGCAAAAGCACCAGACGAGACTGAAATAACTATATTAAAAGAGACTTTAAAACAATGCTATTAATCTATCGTAGTTTATAACCAAACATAAGAAAATAAAATTTGAATAATTAAAGTGGTTGGATACACATTCACCTGTCCCACACAAATTGAATAAAACTTTATTTAAAAATCCACAGAACACTTTTTTTAAATGCTAGGCCCCAAAAAACCTCAATAAATTCTAAAAATCAAAACTACACAAGCTGTATTTTCTTTCTGCAAGGGAAAAAATCCTCCAAGTAGCTAAAACTGGGGGTTGGGGGGCGGGGGGAAGCCAACCACAAAGAAATTTTTAAATATTCTTAATTATTTAACCAAAAATTTAAAACACAACAATAAAGTACTCAGAAAATAAAACACATCAGCATAGCTGGGATGTCAACATGTTTGAAACCAGAGATATGCAAAAGCCTTGAAAGTATTCATTTGTACACAAACAAAAACAAAAAATAAGCACTAGACTCAAAAAGTTACAGGGAAAAACTTAGAGAAAACAAAAATAATAAACATAAAATGAGAAATTAACATATTTTAAAACAAAATCACAATTGATAAGCAAATCCAAACTGGTTTAAAAAAAAAGACACCTTTACCAAGTCTAATCAAAGAAAAAATAAGAAATGTTAGAACAAGAAAAGGTAAATTTCTTAACTTAGAAGTAGCAAATTTAATACAAACAAAAAAAAAATAAGCACTAGACTCAAAAAGTTACAAGGGAAAAACTTAGAGAAAACAAAAATAATAAACATAAAATGAGAAATTAACATATTTTAAAACAAAATCACAATTGATAAGCAAATCCAAACTGGTTTAAAAAAAAAGACACCTTTACCAAGTCTAATCAAAGAAAAAATAAGAAATGTTAGAACAAGAAAAGGTAAATTTCTTAACTTAGAAGTAGCAAATTTAATAGAAATTTTTCATTCTCTTTCTACTAAAATCCTCTGCTAATAAACATATTATTCAAAAAAATGAAGTTTGTTAAAAAGTATGTTACCTAATTTAGTAAATAATAAACACAAATGGTGAAATACATTTTAAAACAAATTTAAATTTAAAATTACTTAAATTTAAAAACAGATGACATACTAATAGCCACAGAAGACACTCACTGACAGTTATCAAAAAACTATTTCCAAAAAGGGCTCTGAACTCAAAAGTTTTATAAGCACAGTCCTTCAATCCTTCATGGAACAAATCACTCCCGTGCTATAATGTAACCTGCTTAATGCATAGAAAAATATATATGGTTATCCTATCCGCTTTATAGAGCTAGCAAAATCCCTATGTCGAAACTTGGACAACAGCCCAAAAGACCAAACTCATGTAAAAATGCAATTTTCCTAAGTAAAATATTAGCAAATCAAATTCTATAGTACCAAATTCTATAGAGGCAGTCACGTTTTATGAAAAATGCACTCCAGAGGACATCACGTATTTCGAAACTTTAATTTTCCCTGAAAAATAAATGTAAAAATAGGGAGGGTACATGGTTGGACTACATAAGTCAATAATCACTGTACTGTACTTTTTCTTTGAGACTGCTTTTTCTTATTATTTCTAAGATTTCAAAAAAGGCTCTTGCTCATAGTGGTGGTTTCTTTTAGATCTTTATCACATTTAATTTCTGTCTTAAAGTTACTGAGACTTGAACATGCTTTCACGCCAGTTTTAACACTACCACTTAATGAACGCCTCTAAGAGAATAACTGTGAACGTTAAAATAGTCACCAAAATTGGCCTCCCAGTGTTGCTGGTAAGGAACCCTGGGCTTTACAGGATACGAACAAAGGATGATGGCATGTCCATTTGCCAAAGTTGCACCGTTATGTGGCAAAAGCATGAGCAGTTTACAATGCACTGAGACTGCCAGTTTTGAAATAATGCAATTCTTGGCCTTTTTTAGGCCACAAGTACGTGCATTACTTCAAATTTTGAAAGCAAAGTGAGCCTTTACCAGTATTATTAGATCAACAATTTTAAAACCTTATAATTCAAGTCTATATAAGATGCAAGTAAACTGTAAATCCTTAAAAAAAAAAAAATTTTTAATTAAGTTTCCTGATTCCAGAAATTCAATGATTCAATATTGGAAAAATCTATTAATATGTCATCCAGAAATCAAATTTTAAAAACTATACCCAAAAAACATATTTGACAGAATTCCAGAGCCATACCTAATTCAAATTCTTTAAAAACTAAGAAAAAAAAGAGGGTAATTTCCTTGCTAAATGAAGAATGTCTGACTCAAAACAGCCAATGTAACAATAAAACTCTATGGACGTTCCCATTAAAATCAGAACCAAACAAGAATGTCTACCACCATCGTCGTCACTTAACATTGTTCTAAACATTTCAGCCAAAGAAACACGCAATAAAATTAAATGTAACTATTAGAAGAAACATCATTCCTTACAGATGATATCAAAGTATTCCTTAGAAAATCCATGCAATTACTGAAAAAAATGCCAGAATTAAGTAGATACCAGGAAAACATACATTTATGGTCTGATGAGACTACAGAACTATTACTGCTCAAATCTTTCCAGCTGTTTCCATCAGGACTGTTTCTATCCTAGTTTGAGTCACTATTATTGTTTGCCTGGATTACTGCATCAGGGTCCTAAACTGGCTTCCCTATCTTCAGCCCAGTGTGGGTGTTTCCAAAACAAATCTGATCATATCATTCCTTCACTTAGAATTTTCTCATAGCTTCCCATCAGTCAGAATAAGATCCAAATTCCTTACCATGGTCTTATAAATATGGCCCTATACAACCAGGCCTTATACAAATGCCATTCTTGACGCTCTAGCCACACTGACTTCCTTTGTTTCTCAAATACACCTTTGTGCTAGTTCTTCACTCAGCTGGCATTGTTCTTCCCTTGAATCTCACAAACATAGCTCCTTCTAAGGTGTCAGTCACATCCTAACTTAAATGTCACCTCCCTAGAGAGCTCTTTGATCATCCAACCTAAAGGAGCCAGCCAGCTCACTATTTCCCAACACCTATTTTAGTTCCCGCCATAGAAGCTAAAGCTCATGATCTGGTATTTTTTCCTGCATGTTTAGTATCTTCTCCCAATAATGTCACCTCCATGAGAGCAAGAACTGTGTCTTAATAACTGTTTAACTCTAGCACTTAAATAAGTGCCTGGCACATAAGAGTCACTCAGTAAACATTTGAATTTTAGCTGTCATTCTCAATAGACTATAAGCTCCACAAAACAGGAACCATATTTTATTCACTGTTTTATCCCCAGGACTCTGACACTGAGTACACAGTCAATAGATGGATGGATGGATGGATGGATGGATGGATGGATGGATGGATGGATGGATTCCTCCTTCCCTATTAAGATTGGGCAAACTTTTTTGGTGAATCCAACACATTGTTGGCCTATACTGAACTTGTAGCCAACTAATACTGCTGTAAATAATTTTATATGAATTGCTATAAAGTTAGATCTTCTCACCTCTACCCATCCATTCCCCAAATTCTACACTTGTGTAATTGACTTAAAATAAACACAGAGCTTTAATAAAGTTTGACAGCTTGTTGAAATTAATCTTTAAAATACCTTTGTCAAATATTTACAAGAAAATAACACATCAAGAAAATTTAAATCTTTTCGGTCCTAATCCATAAACTGTGTAAGTAGCTGGGCAGAGACAAGACCTTCCTTAAAGTTATATTGAAAAAAAAATGAGGTATTAAAAAGTTAATCTATTTTGTCAGTGTATAGACAAATGACCATTTTATGCTAAAATGGTCAAAATTAACAAAGCCACAAAAGGAATGCCTCTTAGAGACTTAAACTAAGATATTGAATTACCATCTTGATTACCAGGAGTTATTAAAATATGACACAGTATACATATTTGCTGATTTGGGGGGCACTCTAAGTATCTAATTACTTCAAACAAAAGGCTACATTCTCAATTTTTTATATTGTTTTTATTCAAGAGTATACTCACAGGCTGGCACTTTAAAATCAGGCTTTTAAAAATAAAGGCCAAAACTGAAAAAATTTTGCAAATATGACACTGCTATAAGAATGATCGTCTTAATAATTTAAACCCTAAAATGTCCTGTGGAGTTAAAGTCTTTATACATACAATGTGTAAGATTGATATCATTTAAAATAAAAAAAAAAAAACACCGATCTTGGTCGAATTTGTCAATGAAGATAAACATCGGTTTCAGCCTTCCAGATATGAAAACCAGCAATTAATTCATCTTGTGACAGAATATAAACTGTGCTTCAGAATTTGGCCTTTAAAGTCTCTTTCTCCAGCAGCAAATCAGCATATCTATGCTGAAGTTCCTTTTCTCTTTCTTGTTGTCGCTGTACATCCTCTTTTAGACACTTGAGGAAACAAAAATGTTAAATAATTATTTCATATGTAAGCATACTGAAAATCAAAAAGGTCTTATGGTACTTTATCATCTTACAAACAGCTGAGTTGAGTCACAATTCTTAAAGCAAGTAGTCCCCAAAGAGAGACAAAAATAGCAATTATGTTTCCTATAAAACAGGTACTACTACAGCCATTCTTCGGTCATATGAACGACTGCCATCTTTCTGTAAAATTTCTCTTCTACCTCAAATAAACAAGCCATTATTGTCCTCTCGCTATCCACAAATGCATTTAAATAAGCTCTAACTGCTCTTTATCTGAGCAGAGGCTAACATGGACACTTGAGAAATAAAGTTAAACCAAAAGAATCTGATGTTTTGCAATGACTAGCTACTCCCAGCATCCTAAGTTACTAAACAAAAAGACACTGGTTTAATGTACCTCGGAGAGCTATATGAATGGGATGCAATTAACTTTCAGAGGACAAATCACAAGGGTTACTTATTCCATTTCATAATATATCTTTAGATAAAACAGAAAATGAGTAAAGGAAAAGCTTTTGTATACACCACTGGCCTGGTGTATCCATCTACATCCAGGCAATTCTAGATCAGAAAGTCAAAAAGTTTAGGCTCTCACTGAAAAAAGCCAGACAGTATCAACTTCAGAAGATAGCCTGCACAGGAAGAAGAAAAAAAAGTGCTGGATAATTCTTTGCAGCTCTCTTTCTAAGCAATGCTGCAAGACAATAATGTTACCTCTAGCCTCCGGGGAATAGCAGAATCTTCATGTTTCTTGAGTTCTTCAAAAGTGCGTAACTCTAAGTAAGCCTGCTCAATTTGGTCCCATAAGTCATTCAACTGTTTCATAAGCCCCATAGCACGAGACTGGTAACCCCCAAGCAAAATTTTCATCTTCTTTTCCATCTTTGCAGCTCTCTTGGCTTCTGTCGTCATGTGACCCCTATTTATCTGGGGCAGGGGGAGAGGAGGAGGAGGAGGGAAGATATCACATCAGCACACATGAAAAGCAGGCTAAATAACAGGACTAAAAGGGTACTTATTGGTTCATCTACCGTCTCAAAGCAGAAATACTTTAGAGTTCTTTATACTTCAGCTACCGTAACACAAAATTACAATAGTCTTGCACCTGAAGGGTTTTACAGGTTAGTCCCAAATAATCTATTTATAACCTCACTCCTGATTCAATCTCAAAGCAGGCTTGAATTTCATAGTATGGAAAAAACTAATTTCTCCTTCTGAAAATAACTTCAGCCATCATTAATCTGCATTGATTTTGGCAGCAACCCATCTTCACCACCTATATCTCAAAAATGCACCTCTACACTATATATGTAGTACATTTTAAAACTGAATAATATGCAATTAATGAACCATAGTTGTGATCAAAACATAACTCCTCAAACTATAAAATTACTAGATTTTTACAATGTAATAACGCTAAATTTGGCATAAAGCCTATTAAGGAAAGAGAGTATCACATTTGGCAACAAAAAAAATTTCATTTTTGAGGAGTAAAAGGATACTATAAAATTAAACGAAATGAGAGTTTTCCTATTAAATATGCATACTGAGCACAGGTGGGCTGCCTCCTCAGCTCATTCTAAAATTAGGGGAACAGAATTAAAAATGTATAAACTCACAAAAGAACAAGACAGGGACAATTAACAGTTGAACAAAATTCTAAAGCTGATGCATAGAAGCAGAGAAAGCCCCACCTTAGAAGGTCCAAAGAGAAGTGGATGAGAAGGGAGTAGGTGTGTAATGCAGACTCTCCCTGGCATAATACCTCCTCTAGGTGTATATTCTACATCCTACAATATAATTGCTTCATATTTTAAAATGATCTGCAAATGCTTGTTTTCAACATGAAATACTTAAAATTGTGAGGTCAAAGCCTTAGGAATACTTAGTAAATTTGTGTTGATTTCTTTGTGTCTGTCTGTTCCTCTTTTCCTCCCTCACTTCCTTTCTCTCTCTGCTCTCCCTCCCATCTCCCTCTCCCTCAACTGATTCCATCAAGTGGCATCCATAAGTAATCAAAACTAAGCAGTTTCAGCATAATGGATATTCTGTAATACTGTAATTCACAGTAATGTAACTGAGAGCACCCTATAACATGGAAGACAGTATGACAATGTTAATACTGTTTTTTCTGAGATACTGAATGTGGGGGCGGTGATAAATAAGCAGAGAAGGTACCGAAGGAAAATGTCAAATGCAAAAAGCTGATATGAAAACTGTACCTAGGATTTTTTTAAATATTTAGAAACAATATAATCTCCTAAACAAATATACAGCTTTCCATGACAGCTTTGTAACATCCCCTCCAGTGCATAACATCTGATTTAAAAACAAACATGTCAATTTCAATGCTTTGTGTTAAGTTAGAATATATAAGAACACCAAACACTAAAGTATTACTCAAAATATAAAGTATACTTCTACTGGAAAAATCTCCAATTTAGTTTATTAAAAGTCAAAGTCAAATGAGCCATTGGGAAGGGGGGAGAGGGGAGGACACGCTCATGTCTGTACATTAAGAACATGAGATCAATCTAAAATGAATTTAAATAAAGCTCTTTTAAAACCGGTCATATCTTCAGCATTTTATAAAAGTTAATAAGCTTTTTATTCCTCTGCAATTCACTTGAAGAATAAGCCATGAATAAATAATGTCCTTTATAAAGAGCCATTTTCTTCTAATAGATAACAAATCAACGTTAAGTCCCACGGCAAAGATATATCTTATGAGTCAGGAAATACTGGTGAAGTCAAGCAACACAGTACCGTGGGTAACTTACTCTTTCTACCTAGCACTGCCACCCAGATGTTCTGAGTTGATGCAAGTTATCTAACCTCTGTGTCTCCATTTCTCGAACATCGGTAAAATGGCAGTCTTTGCTAGAAGTTATTATAAAGCTTAAATAAGATAATGTTCATGAAAAACCTTAGCCGCCCAATGACTGGCACACAGTAAGCGGTCAATAAATGTTAGCTCTGACTACAATTATTTTACAGGCATTAAAAGTTTAACCATTTTTGCTCTCCTCTCTTAATGAACCAAGGGACGAAGGATGAGGCTTTAAAACTCTCTTTAAAATTCCAACCTTAATTTAAAAAATGACACGGACCCCTTCCTGGAAATAAAGCAAAGGAAAAAGAGCTGTTCCTTATTTTAAGTCAGCAGTTTGCCTCTTGAGAACCACCACACCACGTAACACAAATGGAGCACGTCTTTTCAAGTCAGTGGTTTTCAACCCCTACTAAACTTTAGAATTACGTGTAGAAGTTTTAAAAATCTACCAGTGCAGGCGCCCTAAACCTAGGAACCCTTATTTAAATGGTCTCGAAACTTTGTATTTTTAAAGCCCCCAGGTGATTCTAATTGGCAATCAGGATGGAGAACGCTTTTCAGTCAGTCATTACAGAAGCTAGGTATCAGCTGTTTCCTCTTAACTAGACCTACCAAAAAGTCCTCATTCTCAGTAAGTGAAAAACTAAACCCACGAGTTGCATCAAGTTCTGTAATACTGTAATTCAGCATATTCTAATAATATCAACATTTGATACTCAAATTACATGTGGATTCAAACACCAAAAACCTCAACAGCAAAAAATTTTAAATTAATACATTTAAGTGGGGTTTTCTCTGCTTTTTTAAAATTAGTCATACACAATAGATGTCAAATGATAATGTACACCTGAAAATTATATAATTGTATTAACCAATGTTACCCCAATAAACAATTAAAAATTAAAAAAAAATAAAAGAATATTTAAAGACAAAAAAGTCATACAAATTATCATTTTCATTGTTAAGATAATTCAATTAGCTATGCAGTGCACTCCATGGATATTCAATTTCCAATCTGATGTAACAGCATAAAACTTAAGTTCAGAAAGTGTTTAATTAGTCATCAAGGCACATTTAGTATGACTGGTACCTTGTATCTGGGAATTACCTCACCTCAAACAGCTGAGTCATATATTATTCTCAAACTACCAAAGATTTTCAAACTGCAAAGATGCTAGTTTCCACTTAATGCCAACAATTTTATTGGCTTGAGCTTTATAAAAGTCTTCTGACTCAAATATTATGCTAAGGTTCTAGCAAATATGGAAATAAATAATACAAAAAAATTTTTCAGGAAAAAATTTAGTCAACTATATAAAGTTAGTCACTAAAAATATAAAGAATAGAATACAGCTTTTGATATTAGATTTTAGCTGTTACCTTATATCTGCCATATGATCATTAAAATGAGAAGGAAGATATCTGTATACTTTGTAAAATGCTCAACCTATGACTGCTCAGTGCACTTTAACAGGGGAAAAAAACTACTAAAAAGTCTGGCCTTTTTTTAGCTAATAAATCTCAAGCATGAAATGCATATGCATACATGGGACAGAACTACCTTCAACTAGCCCCAAGTCCCCCACCCTACATACACAGAAACAACATTAAAGTCCAATAGAGTATAAAACCTTATTGTTTAAAATACAAAGAATTGGGAAGAACCAGACTGATTCATATTTCTAAGCCTTTAAAAAAACACACACAGAATTAAGCATTAGCAACTGCCCTGAAGGACAACTCATTTTGGAAAAAACAATATTGGCTTACAGAGCTTCCACTGCATCTTACAGCTGATTTACCAAAAGTTCTCCCCGAAAAATGATGTTCAAATCACTGTACATATAGATTTACCAAAAGTTTCCAAAAAATTTTTTTCAAATCCGTAGAGATACACTTAAAGTCTTCTTAAAATATCTAACAAAGTTAGCAGTAACATCTAACAAAGTTAGTAGTGGAGCTAAGATTAAATATTCTGTTCACTTGTCACCAGACGAACCTCCCAAATATGATTATAATGGAAGTCTGTGCTTTAAATATGTATCGGCACTGAATTTCTAATAATCTTAAATAAAGTTCACTAAAACTATTAGAAATTTAAAATAGGACAACACTTGACATAATTAAAGCTGACTTCATCCAAAATGAAAGAGCAAAATTCAATTTAAAGAGATGAATGAGAATATACCTAGATATAAATATATAAGGAAACCAAGCTGACAAATTTCATGCCCCATAATTCTGTTTTATAATATAATATCTGGAATTTGCTTCAAAATAATAAGAAAGGGGAAATAGATGAAACAAAGTAGCTATGAGTTAATGACTGTCATAGCTAGGTGAAAATACCTAAGGACTCATTACACTAGTCTACTTTGGGTATATTTTTACATTCCCATAATAAAAGATATTTTTTTAAATTCGAGTTCAGTATTACTCTAAAGGCTAATTATTTTAAGATCGTACACCACAAACCATGAAATATCAATACAATGAAATATAATACAGACATTAAAATGTATGTCAACTATTTCAGCACACCAAAATGAAATGTGTAAGTTAAAATCTACAATCAACTAAGATCTATTTATACTAACCAAAATCTGATTTTTAGTCTCTCCTAAAACCAACCCATGCCTTGTATTTCGGACATTCATCAAAATGTAGAGAATAAAAACTCAGCCACCCTCTTTCAAGGTGAAGTTACTTCTTGATACCTCAAGGTATCAAATCATTTAGATAACACTAAGAGTGATACAGACCTGAAGAGAAATGAGAGAGAATTGCCATTCGCTTAAACTTGCTATTTACTAGGCACATAGGATCTCATTTAATCTTACATTACCTCACTTCCATGAGATAAAAAACATTACCCTCCCAAATTTTATAGGTAAAAAAATTTGAAACTCAGAGAGGTTAAGTAACTGGCGCTGGGCCACACAGCCACTAAGTGATGAAGCTATACAGTTGTGTCCTACTTGAAAGTCCAACACATTAGGCCAAACCACTGCTAATAAACTGAAAGTTCTCCCTGCCTCAGCCCCCGAACCGCAAACATGCCTGAAGAAATTCAAGCTGTGGGACTAAATGGCTT